AGAGGGAGGCTCTGTGGCTGGTGGATCCTAGTAAATGTGATGAGTGAGACAATGTCCAATTTACCATGAATGAGTGTGAACGTTCGGCTTTTTTTAGCTGTTAGATTCTTCAATCGGATGGCTATGATATACTCCCTCCTATTCTTATTATTTGTCGTATTGAGAAGTAACACGCTAATTAAGAAATTTTTTTCTTGCCACTATTAACAATGGTTGTCAAAATCGGACCGGACCGGCTTGTCGTTTGAGGCATGGAACCGCTGTGGAGCAAAACCGGTCAACAACCATTTGAACCGGTCAAAAACCGGTAAAACTGGTAAAACCGGTTGCGGTCAGTGCGGCCCAACGGCCCTTGGCGCGCTTTGAACTTGGAGGTGCAACACTCATATAAATACCTTATAGTTTTTGTTTTCGGTTCCGATGTGGGAGCACACAAGTCACAAGTAAAGAAGATTTTGGGCCGGTATTGGGCCTTATTGCAATTGTAAATTCCTGCAATTAATGCCTCTTGTTAGTATTTTTGGGCCTTATAGCAAAAACAATTGTTAGCTTGATTCTTTTGTTAATGTTGGGCCTTTTGCCTTTTTGAGCTTTACTTCAAAAGTAAATTAAGCCTTCAAAAGTTCTTAAAAATATGTCATTAGACACTAAAAATTAAAGATAAAATATATAAAATTATATATCATACATACAAAATAAATAAAAAATTATATATTAATTTAAACAGTTCGACCGGTTCGACCACTGGTCAGACCAATGAACCATTGAACCGGTAGCTTCACTGGTTCGATGACCAGTCCTGTTTTGACAACCTTGCTATTAACCCTATTTAATGGATGTTATGGGAAAGATGGAGATGTGATATGAAGAGATACTGTGTATTGTATGGATGGTTAAAAATGGAAAAATATGAACAGATAGCCAAAACGATATTTATTTAATCAATGATCAATTAAATCAGAGTGACAAATAATAAAAATAGGAGGGAGTATATTTTTATTTATTTCTCTGAGAACCATACTAATGAGAGTACACACACACACACACACACATTTATATATATATAGGGTCACGCTCCGGTGAGAATGGTACTCAATGAAAGAAATGAGAATAAATCGTGTTCATTGGATCGGATGATCCAACCGTTCAAAAAAATGCCAAATTGTACACTTATTAAGGATAGGTTAGTAATTATACCATTACAATCAACTAACCAACAGTGGGCCCCACCAAAATCTCATCCCACCCTCCCCCTCTCTCACACACAAAAACACACACTTTTCCACGCACACACACACACACTCACACACGCAGCCGCGCAACACACACAGAAAGATAAATCACCACCGTCCTCCGCCGCTGCCTGCCGAGTGCTGACTGATTCACCACCGTCCCGTCGCCGACAGTCCGGCCGCCTCCGTTAGTCAGAGCGCCGCTCGTACTTCTCCGCGCGGTCAGAGTTGTCGTCGTCGTGATCCGACAGTCGTCGGCCGATGAGATCTGCCATCGGCTTCAGCTCGCCGCCTCAGAGAACCGTCTCCACCGCCGCCTGACAGACGCGCCGAGTCCCGTTCTAGACGATGCCGACGGCGACGCTCACCAGGTGACAATGAGAATAATATCGTCTATTCCGGAAGTTTCGAACAACAACGAGAATAATATCGTCTCCGGTGACAACAACTGACGTCGCTGCTACCCACCGTAGCGATTAACGGCAGTTCGCGGCTCTGCAGACCTTAATATCGACGCCTGAACTCTTGGTTGAATTTCAAATTTGGGGGCATTGGTTTGAGAATTTGATACTTTACATGGGTTTAAGTGCAATTTAATAAATTATAATATATTTCAATTTTGACCTTGGGTCAAATTTGTAATTTTATAAAAGTTCAATAATGCACAAACAATTATTAAGTATAATGTGCATTATAAAATGTAGGCTTTGCACAATAACAAATACACATTATTAATGTTTTTAAAATTGAAAATGCATATAAAAAAAATACGTGATTGATAGTTTGCACAATAATGGTAGAAGGAATGTACATTATT